TGAATATATATATATACATAAATTAATTATGTGTGTATACGAGTATATGTATATGTGGGACTAGTGTTTTTTAGCAAACTTTCATCATAATATAATATTATAATATTTAAATAAATGGTTTGTCGTAGTAAAACCAATGCATTTGTTTTATATATAATTATAAATGACTACAAAGTGATGAATTGAGACTATAATTATACCCCGAAGTTCCACAATTCTATTTGAAATCCTTTATGCAAATAAGCATTACTGGAAAGCTAAACTTAATTCCTAGGAAACAAAACGATGCATGATGGGTAATAGAAGATACCCATTGTTGAGAAGATTAATACAGGCAAACAATAAAACAAGTCATAGTCCAAAACCACTACAACCAACCATGAAAACAAACTAGTGACGGCACAAGTCAATTGGCATGCTTTTCAAAGTAATACTAATTGACTTTTCATATTCTGCCATTCTTAAACTGTATTTTACATACTATATAATCAAGTAGATGGAGGAACAAAACAAAAAATATAAACCACTAGTCAAGCGGCCATGTGCGCAACCACGACAATAAATCAGCAAGCACGATTAATTAGAAAAATAGTGAATTGAATCCAGAAATTCTCATGCCCATAAATTTAAATAATATATGATATACTTTTAATTCCTTTCATCTTGATTTATACAAGAAAATCTGAGCCCTTAATCTGGCTCTGATACCAATTGTTGAGTTTTATTTTAATAATTCATGTAGAAATCAAGTATATTGTAATTAATTAAAGAGTAATTTAGATATCATACCTGATTAGAAGATTAAATTTTAGATACCTTTAAGAATTCTTTAGCGCCCCTTGAGAGATCTGAAAAATTAGAACACTTTACCCCCTTCTGAAAGCTGTCGATACGATAGGTCTGAATAAGGGTTTTAAAACCTTTATACATAACAACAATAGAGGGGAACGGCTTCTCTACAAACAAATATACCTAAGTCTCTCTTCCTATCATAAAAATTTAGATATTAATGATTAGAATTAAATCACACCAAATAAGTTGAAAAACCACAATCCAACGGTATAAAAATCATATTCTCAACTAGACAACCAAATTAGAAACTACAACTTAATCCATCAAGTATCAATAATCACATTGCAATCCTACTTTAAAAAACGTAGTGCATAGGACCATAAAATAATTTTTATTATTTATATATATATATAAATTTCCAACACTTTACCCCAATATAGCAATTATATTCAAGTTATGCCCGTTCATCCCCTCAATTGTGTGTTCTTCATCAACCACCCATTCCTTTGTACTTAACATCTGCATCCGCCGACGATCACCACGACCACGAGTGAGAGAGAGTAACCAAAACCAAAGGAAGAGGACAGGGAAGGAAAAATAAGGAAAAAGAGAGGCGACCGATGTGAACCCAGCTTTGGGGTAGCGCCTGGTGGTCGCTTTATGGTCATTAATTAGGTGATTTTGAGAGAAAGGAATGTAAACACAGGTGGTCGTAGTGAGAAAGGGACCAAAGGGTGGACGTTTGTGTGGCTACTGGCTAATAATTTTTACTTATTAACTTTTATCAAATTAAAGGCAAAACATGACATTTCACATGCAATTTTCATGTCATCCTCACTAACTTGACAAGGGGGGTGTTTCTATTCCTTTTTTTTATTTTTATTTTCAGATTTCTATTAATCGGTACCAATATTGGTAGTCGCGATTTGCGGCTGCAAATGCGAACGCATATCAGCGTTACATTATGAAATTAGTTATGGTAATCGTCCAAACATGTATTTCACATGTCGTTTTCATGTTCGTACTAACTTGACAAGTTGGTGTTTCTATTGATTTTTTAAAATCTCTTTTAATAGGCATCAAAGCTCGTAGTCATGGCTGCAAATGTGAACGCGTATCCAGGAGCCAGCATGTCTGCATGTGCCCTGCTGGCTCATTAAAATAAATTATTTATAGCACTGTGTATATAAATTTACATTATGTTCCCCTAAAATAATTTTTACCTAAAAAAATTTCTTATTCTTTCTTTCTTTTTCGTCAATTTTTTTTTATTCTCCTAATATTCCCTTTCTTCAATTAAACTATAATTTTTTTTCCCTAGAGTTGTCTCATTTTTTTGTTATTTATTTTTTTCTTCTTTGTTTTTAATTTTTTTCCCCTTAAAAATTTCTTCTTCTTGCACTCATGTACTTGTGTTGCTTTATTAGATTTTTTTATGTCTATATGCTCCCCTCAATCAAATTCCTAAGTCTGTCCTTGTGCACGTATCAGTGTTACATAATGGAATTGGTTATCGTAATCGTCCAAACATGTATTTCACATGTAATTTTCTATTGATTTTTTCAAATTTCTATTAATTGGCATCAAAGCTCGTAGTTGCAATTTGCGGCTTGCAAATGTGACCGCATATCAGCGTTACATAATAGAATTAGTTATTATAATTGTCAATTTTTTTCAATCTCACACAACAGTTGAAAAAAAATAAAAATAAAAACCAATCTGTTGTTTTTTTACAACTCAATTCAATAAAATTGGATTTTTAGTTATTTTTATTAAAAAATTTAAGATCATTTAACACCAGTAGTGACCTATTTATAAATTCTAATTAGTTGTTCTTGTTAAAAAGGAATAACCCATTCCGCACTTGATAGTTGATGGTTATGATATTGAAATAGAAACGAGATGGGGGTAGGAAAGGTATCATATGTTCACAAATTCGTGGGTCACGTGGGCTTCTTACTTTTTCCTCTCTCTTTTTCTTTTTCTTTTTCGTTTTTTTTTTTTTTTTTTTTTTTTGTGGGGGAAAGTTGCAAGTCTAGAGAAGAGGAAAGAGGATGATGAGTATGGTATATTATATAAAGTGATTTTATTGTCCTTTATTAATTTTTGTAAAATACTAAAGGTATAGTGGTCAAATAATGTAAAAACTTTGGTTTCTTCCCTCTTACCGGAGAATGAAAAGGTGTCACATCTTTCTCGTCTCTTTCCTTTCAACCAACCAAATAAAATGAAAGAATGACACAAGTGCTTCCTAAGGATGTTTTATACCTCTTCCACCTTCCAAGAAAGTAATACTCCATAATACCCCACATATACTTATACTAGATAATCTCGAATAACGCATGATTATTGAAACTTTTAATTTGTTTTGATACACAAAAACTGAGAATTCTTTAATTTTTTTAAAAAAACATGAATGTACCTTGGATAGGGATTTTGCATGTACAATACTATTATATATTTTCCCCACCCTTCCCATCACCTTTCCCATTTATTTTTCCGTCCCTACACCAAACAGTAGTTAGAGGCTCCTGTATCTCTTTCAATAGAGACAGAATATGCAAATTTCAAGTCAAATTGACTTCGCTAGTCACATCCTATGATGTCATCAGTGTATGGGGATCAGAAGTCCTCAGGTACTATGAAGAATATTTGTCTCACATCGAATCCGGATAGGGAGTGAAAGAGTATAAATGGGTAGATATGCAACACTGCCCAACAGCTTAAATTTTAGAATAAATGGACAAACGTCTACCCGTTACGCCAAGCTTGTTCAATCTAAAATTTAAACTGCTTCCATTTTCTAGTTATTAAGTCAAGCTCAAGCCCAGCCCAGCCAAACTAGGCCTGGTTTGAATTAGAGGCATTCACTTTGGGAATTCTGTATTCCAAGTTGATCATACAAAAGCCCAGCTAACTAAAACTTGTTCATTGTTCACTACGCTTGACCCTAACAACCAAAAATTGCCCCAAAGGCAATGATGATGATGAACCATAACAGCGCCCCCTTTATAAGGGAAGCTACTTGTGAGCTCAAAAGGATTTGATAAACAACTTCAAGCATATTTAAAGGAGCTATTCTATCTACTAAAAACTAGGGTTGCCACTTTAGAAGAAGGAAAATGATTAAACCTTGGGAACTTGGACGACGGAATTAGGAGACCGAAGGGCTCCCGCACACGGCGGCGTACGGCCTCCGTGTTCGGAAGCAGTATCATTGAAGTATAAGAGTCAAAAGTCAGTTCTATATCTTAATACCACTCTCAACACCACACAAATATAAGCCATAATGGATAATAGCCCCTAGTGTTAAGCATGTTGAGGCTAGAGGCAACAAGCTATTGATTGAAAATATGATGAACAAAAAAATTTACACTGCCTTGATTTTCCATGGCCCAACCCAAACTCACTCTCTTCAAAATGAATCAACGGCCAACCCAACCCAATCCAACCGCGTGAACTGCTCCGTTCTTTTGAATGAAATATATATATATATATATATATATAGGTTTTGGTTGTCCTTAAAATATTTACTAAAAATATCCCCACATTAAACTCAACCTAAACCCTGCCAAACACCCAAAAAAAAAACATGAAAATAAAAAATCATTCATTTTACGTGAAAAAGGAAAAACTAAAGTTGGGTAGCAATGATAATGAACCGCCGTAACTCCCCCGGTTCATACATATTGGCAAGCACCCCCAAACTCCCCGAGTTTTTGTATATAAAAATAGATTCCGTTGAACAACAAATACACAAAAAGACATTCCCAAAATTATTTAAACACGTCCAACCAACTTCCAAACAATGCATAAAATTGCTGGTTATTTCGACTAGATCAACAGATTATACTCGTTCTTGTGTATTGCAAAAGGTTTTCTAAATATAATAAATTCCCCAATCCAACAGTTACATAGAGATTTTCATCAAACAACTAATCATAAATCTAAACCCTTAAACAAAAATATAAAGGAAGGACAAAGGAGAAGAAAATACCTAAAAAGTAAAAACCATTATCAAAATAACTAAACATGAGAACACCTGAAAAATAAGTTTCAGACATATAAATCCTAAAAAAAAGTTGGAGAAAGGAAGCTACCAAAATGTGATAGGTAGCTAAAATGTGGCCAGTTGCCAGAAATATTTTGCACAAAACGATTTAACTTGAAAACAACAAAAACTAATATCCAGAGTAGAGCAAAGCAAATGAAGTAAACGGGAAAATACTGATTTAAAGATCTCAATCAAAAGTCGCAAGTTTTTTGCTGTGCTATCCTGGTTCAAAATACAACAAAAACTAGTATCCACTACATTCAGAGCATATTAAGAGACATACTAACAACAAAACTAACATAGACTAGCATCCAACATCAATCCTTCCAGTAACCTTTTTTGTCATAGTTTCATCCAAGGCCAGTTGCATTGGAAAATCTAGCAGCAGCAAAGGCAACACTCCATATCACTACCAAAGATGAAGCAGTTGGAAGTTTTTCAGCTCAATGTGATTCAGGACCGAGATCTTTCCCGTTCTATGGGTGAGCGACTGCATCAGTACCAAAAAAACACGTCAGAACTATACATATTTAAAAGAAAACAACAACTGAAATTTATCAGCAAAAATTAGCTATGTAAAGATTTAAATCAAAGCAAAAGAGGAGAAGAAGATAATGTATAAACCTCCTGTATCTCTCCTGCATGGGGCTTTCATCTCCTGCATACTTCGGGCTGTCCCTCAGTTCAGGCTTATAATTTGGGCTGGGTTCACGAAGACCCTCCTCCTCAGGGCTGAACCTATCTCTCCGAGGACTTGGGCTGGGGCCACGACCATAATCAGGACTAACCTTCTCTCTTGGACTGGGTCCACGACGGCCTTGGTCAGGACTAGGCCTCTCTCTTCGAGGGCTAGGGCTAGGGCTAGGGCCACGGCCATAATCAGAATTAGTTCTCTCCCTTCTGTGGTTGATCGGGCTGGGGCCACGGCCATAATCAGGGCTTGCTCGGTCTCTCCTATAGGGACTTGGACTACGGCCACGGCCATAATCAGGACTGCCCCTCTCCCTCCTATAGGGACTTGGAGATCGCCTTCTTCCAGGTGACCTATCACGGCTTCTATCTGGGCTATATCCATTTCTCCTGTCATCATCGTCTTTGATTGCATATTCCACTGAAATAACTCGATCCATCAGCTTGCTGCACATCAAGATAAAATGCACAAAACACATGTAAGGTACCTTGAAATAGACACACAAGTACAAACAGTATTTCCAGCAAAATGTAATCACATTTCACATGGGGAAAGATCACAATTTTAAAAATGGAACTTAAAAGATGCTATCCCTGACAACTAATTGTAGAAAACAATACCAAAGAACAAACCTCATGTTTGTAGCTTCCAATGCTTTCGTAGCATCTTCTTGGGTTTCATACTGAATAAACGCGAAATTCCTTCTAATCCTTATGTTCAATATTTTCCCATGTGGATCAAAATGCCTTTCCAAGTCCCTTGTCCTTGTATGGTAAGGATCAAAATTGATAACAAACAAGGTCTTTGAAGGCCTTAAATTACCAGAAGATTTTCTAGAAGAACTCCCAGGCCTTCTAACACCACGTTCCTGCTGGAACATAGCAAAGGACAGCTCAAGTAAAGATGTGACCGAAAACACTAGATAGAGTGAGGAGAGAAGTAATGGAAACTTTTCAAAGAAAAATATCATAACCATAGGTAGCAGCATAATGCATCATTACCTTAGTCCACTCGACACGAAGTCGGCGTCCCTTTCTACCAAATTCTATCCGATCAAGTCCCCGAATTGCATCCTCGGCATCTCTCTCATCATCCATATAAACAAAAGCAAACCCTGCAATCCAGTAAAGTAAAAGAATCCAAAAAACAAAAATATCTTATTCAAACTTTCAAGAAAGAAAACTACGTGGAGAATCACATGTAAATGATTCCTTCATATGAGATGGCATTTTTTTCTCCAACGAGTACACAACCCATCTATCGTACTACCACAAAATAAACCGCTCTGTGAAATCTAGAAACTATTGACCAGTAAAATCAGTAACAGACCTTGGGTGATGGATGAACTAAATGATGTCAAGGAACAAGAATCCAAAGGTGGATGTCTCATTGTAAGACAATGAAAAGAGAGTGCCTTCTCCATCTATTCTGTTGTCTTTGCTTCCAGGTCGGCAATGTTTCTACCGAACATGTCTGAAAATGAGGGCTGGACAAAAGTCATGAGGAATGGAAAGCAATGGTGTCTGAGGAAAATGTGGGATTGTGATGCCACAGTGGATCAGAGTGGCACAGGAAATGTAATGCAGAAGAGCCCATCCATCCGCCAGGAAGTGTATGGACATTGCAAGGTAATCCTGCGCCAAAGAATTAATTGAGTATGGGGGTTTTACACTCAATAAACATATTCTTTTCTTTAAAATTATCCTAGCACCCCACAACAACTCGACGAGGAAGGACTGCTGCTGTCGCCGATTCACGTGGTCTGTATATTCTGCAGTCAAAACTGTACCAAAAACTGCCGCCCTTAGGTGTTGGAATTTGCTCCTAGCTGAATATGTTGGTTCTGTAGAATCCACGACCTCACAGGGATATTGGCCATGCTTTCCGTATGATAATTTATTTTGTAAACCATCTTATAATAGATGTATATAATATATATATATAAATATAGTTAATGTCAGGGCCCATCCATGAACATGACTTCAGTCAAGGAAAATAAATGATTTTGACATGCAGTTTAACAATGTTGCAGGAGGCTACAAAACAAATTACCTATAAAACCTATGTTACAAAACAAAAGTGATGCATGTTAATATCAGCCGCCACCAATACATAAAACAAAAATAACTCATTTCTCGTAATCTATCCTTGCAGGAAAAACAAAAAAAAAAAAAAAAAAACGCCCATTAAATTTACTCTATTCACAAAATAAATCCTTTAACTTAACCAGTGGAACGATTTCTCACTTGGGGCATGCTGGCTAATAGTTCAGGGCAGACTTGTGTCTTACTCATATATGCTGATTGTAGCGAACAACATAAGAAAAGTTGCTTTCTTTATTACAAATATTAGCACCTTCATGTATCAGTGCTAGTTAAAAGTGTATCCTAATAAATACAAAAGCAGCTCAGTACAGAAGAATGCTTGACAATTCATAGTTCAAGATCCGTGTAAGATGGTTTCACCATCAAATCAATTAATTGACTGTAAAAATAACCATGAGAAAATTACTCCCAAAAAATATAAAAATAAAAATAAAAAAAGAGGAAAGAACCATGACATAAAAACAAATCCAATGACTGAAAGAAAACTATAAATTAACAAGTTAAAAAAACAAATTCTGCAAAAAATTAAAAATAATCAAATCAAATCAAATCATAAGGAACATGGTGCTGAAATTACCAGATTTCATATCCACTCTATCAACCTTCCCATATTTTCTGAAAAGCCGCTCCAGATCAGACTGACGTGCATCAAACTCAAAGTTTCCACAGAAAATGGGCCTCATCTTACCTATGCACAAGATGATAAATTTTCCTATAACCTTTGATTTGGTGTAAATATGCAAATAAAAACACATAACAGTAAGAAGTATAAAATACATGACACAGTTTCACGGGATCAAGAAAAGGTTAACCAGTTCATTGTCAGAGTAGATCACGTACTGTAAACTCATTAACATACTAACTGCATATAGAAATAATACAAACAATTATCTACAGAAAAAGAACAGCAGCATCCACATCATCACTAGACACCCTTAATTTTGGTAATTTGAAAAGCAGCAGTTGTAGTACACCAGAAACAAATTTGTCATGTATAACTTACTCCAATTACAGACAGGCACCTTTGGGTCGACACAACTATTGCTAGGGATCAATTTTCTTAAAAAATATCTTAATTTTACAACCAAAATGAAGTTCTCTTCCTGAATATAATGTGGAGACATATATTTCATTAGTGTACTAAATAGAGGAGGCCTCAATGCAATCTTCTTTACCTATTCCACTTCAATTAAAGCAAATTTGAATTATCATGGTGTTGAACAATATTGACAAAGTACAAAAATTCCATTCAAGTTGTTTCAGCCAAAACTATGCCTTCCCTACCATTAATAATCTTCAGCAATAAACAACAAATGATACACTAGAATACAAACATACATATATATATGTATATATATATATATAAGCTACATGAGCATTCCATTTACCTTCACTAACTGTATAAGTTACATTATCTCATCCTTAATGTGCCCTCAAAAATTTTACAAAGAAAACAACCCATTATTGACCAATTCAAAGCAGAGACTGAGCACTTCATTTACCTTCACTAACTGTAACTAAAATACAAGTTACTTTATCTCATCCTTAATGTGCCCTCAAAAATTTTACAAAGAAAACAATCCATTATTGACCAATTCAAAGCAGAGACAGAACAAACACGACCTAGTTTCATTTTGGTAGTAAGTGAAGACACAAAAATCATATTATCAAAATCAAAAAATTTCCAGTCTTGAATGTTTTCATAGTTTGTTACCACAGAGAAAAAGCCTCCACTAAGCTTTGTCAATTAGGCTTAAGCTTTGTCCAAAACTAATTGGCAAGACTATTGCAACAATATTTAACAATATTTCATTATTTCGTTGCTCTTCAGACACATTTCCCAAACTTAGGACAAAACTTGAGAACATAACCAGCCAAATCAACCATTAAACTTCATAGCTAAAATATATATATACATATATATATAACCCATACTTTTAGCGCAAAAATAAAAAAAAAAAATCATTAATAATAAAAAAAAAAATAGATATGAAGTACACAGTTTGCCACATAGATCTAAAGATAAACACACGTAAGGTCAGCTACAAATCAAGTCAAAAGAACAATCAGATCTAGGGTTAATGTAACCAAAACGTCGGATCGAAACAAAGTGCTCCGTTTTCTAGCAGAGATATTGCCAGAAAAACTGAAATCCTAGGAAAGACATCACAAACCCTAAAACAGTAATCAAATCGAAAAAAATTTATCACCGTTTCTCATATTCTCTCACCGACCAAACAGATCTGCATAGAAAAGGACGGAAAGTTGACGGAAAATTGAGAGAAGATACAAGGAGATTGGCGTCGCGTACCTTTGAGTGTTTGAAACCCTAAAAGCGACAGAGACGAAAGAAACTCCCAAGTAAAAATATCTTCGAGACTGACGGCAACATAACGCTCGTGGCTATATATATAAGCACGATATGTGTATATTGTCTATAAACCCCTCCATTTTTTTTAATTGTAAAATGACCTATTTTATTAGGGGCCAATTGGCGACGGTTTTTTTTTTTTTTTTTTGTGTTTTTTTTTATGGTAAAGCAAACACACATACTTTTTTGTCCACGTCCGGACTCGAACCCCCTTCCTCTATTTTGAAGATGAAGAGATTATACCATTAGGCCAAAAACCCTTTGGTACAAATTGATAATGTTTGCTATCATTCAAATAGTACCAAGTACTTCTTAAATGAGGCCAAAATCGAAAGTATAAAAATAATATTTTTTGTTGCTTCCGGCATTGTAGAAAAAGAACTTTTAAAAAAATAATAATAAAAAATTCTAAAATGACATTTTTAACTATTCATTTAATTTTTCAAATTTCATATTTTTACTTCAAAAAATCTTACAACAAATTTGCATTACCAAACAAGTTTCGAAATAGTGTTGAACACACTTTAAAACAGAAACACTGCTTCTGCTTTGGGTCAAAGCAAAAGCGGTAGCCAAATGGGCCCTACGGAGTACTACTTATGTCTTGTGGGTTTCCTATGACCCGAAGGTTTTTGCGAACCAAAACGGCCCTATTAAGACTGGTTTGGAAAATTATGGGCTTGGATAGTTCAGGTTGCTACGTTCATGTCACATTTTTTGTGTTTTTGTTATCGTAATATATAAAAACATGATTTTACTTTTCGAAATGAAAATTAAAAAGCAAAATGATAATTATTAAACTTTGTTGTTGTCACAATTTTAATAAATAGAAAATAATAACAGTATTTAGTAATACATATTTATTAAAAGCATTCACTTCACGAATTGAACAATCAACATCAAAAGTATCCATATTGAAATAAGCAAGACATGCTTTTAATGGATCTTTTAAAAGGATAAAAGGAAGAGACTCTTGGACAAGATCATCAATCACATCAACTAGGAAACACTCGCATTCATTTATGGGATGTTAGCTCGCATTAAAGACATTCAACTTGATTATCATATTACCAAAAGAGTTATCCATAATACCCAACCGACAATTGATTGTGGCATTGGCGGTGGCAAGAAAAGGTCTATCTAGGATGATTGGGGCACTGGTTCGATGTCAAGAGTTACAAAATCAACCGGAAAATAAAATGTGTCCACCTTGACAAGGATGTCCTCAACTATTCCCCGTGGTTGTTTTGTTAACCTATCAGTGAGTTGAAGCACAACCGATGTAGGGTTTTGATCTCCTAACCCCAATTGACAATAAACCGAGCATGGAATGAGGTTAACACTTACTCCTAAATCCAAAAGAGCCTTATTAATTTCATGATCCCTAGTGATGCAAGAAATGGTAGGAGTACCGAGATCTTTGAATTTTAGAGGAGTATTATTTTAAGGTTACTTCCTTTTGGCTTGAAAGAGTCTAGAGAGAAATATTGGAAGAGCAAGAGAAGGGCAAAAATGAAGCTTGGAAAGATGAAGTTTTAAGCTTTAATGGAGGCTTCAACCATGCAAATGAGAAGCTAACTCTCTTCCTAGGGAGTTCACGTAGCCATCTCCAAGTAACTATATGGTTTGATCTTTGTTAATATTTTAGGGAAAATGAGGTATTTGTATAGCTATTGTATAACTTTGATGTTTACAAGTTCTAAGTATCTTATAATGATTTTTATTGTACAAAATCTTTTATAATGAAAACCTCTTCTTATCTTAGAAAGCTTTTATTATAAGGGAACCATGTTCATTTTCATGGTGATAATGAGAATGATGAGTTATACAATTGTTTGCATGACATACAAAGTAAGAACTCTGATATATCATACTTAGGGAAGACAAGTTGTACTCCGTGTTAGTCTAGCTTAGTTAGGTGCACAAATTGCGCTAACCAAAGATGGGTTATGCTTAGCTCTTGAATTGTATGTGCATTTATTGCATTGACGATTTCGTTGTGATCGTAAGCCGCACGAATCATTGCTATGCATCTCATAGTTTCCCCCATGATAAACAAAATCGGCCATGGTTATGAGGGGATGGTGAAGTCAATTCCCTAGCCGTCTCTCCATTTGAAAACTTAATCATTTAATTTCAAGTCTAGTATTTAATTTCAAGTAATTTAGATTATTCAACAATCAACATTCAACCATTCTCGAATTAAACTGGAATTAATCTTACAAATTTAATGGCCATAAACTTCGTAATCCTCATGGTTCGACACCCTTTATGTAGCCATATCCTATGACGAGGTCGCTTGTAAATGCCAAACTAAATGTAGTGAATGTATGGTTCAAGAAAAGCCTTTTATGTCAAATTTAAATTTATAAAAACCACTACCAATACCACTACTAACGTAGCAAGAGTGAGTAGGGATCGTCCCAAGGGATTATACGTGTTGGAATTTCAGTTTCGACTCTAGCGTACCAAATGATTGCAAAAGAGAATTGGGTTGGTTGATTATACTAAATGAGCTAAACTATAATAAAGCAATGCAATAAGATAAAGAGTAAGTAAGAAGGAAAGGTCTTGGGGTGTAGAGATCACCACCAAACAATACTATTTCAAACCATAATCAAGTGACTAATGAGGGAAATGAATGTGTTGCAACAATGTTGTGTGTGTAAAAGACATTCAATTGGTAAGGGTGACTCAACAAGTGCAAATTGTCTCAATCAACATGTGTGAGGCCACAATACATCTATTGGTAGAGGAATATATTGTCTAAATATCATGTGAAGATAACAAAATAACAATTTAAGTCATTGAACCTTTCATTAAGCTCATAGTCCAAGCAATCCATAAGGATGATTTAGTTAAACATTCATTATCTAAACATCATGTGAGAGGTACAAAATATCTATTGGGAGAGGAATAAATTGTTTAAACACATGTGAAAGATACAACATATCATAACTAGTCATTAATCCTTCATTAAGCTCACAATCCACATACAACACAAAATTAGAGAAATATGCCATTTGGACTCACAAGCATGGAACATCAAACATTAAGAGTAGATTGTTCTCCCATATAACATTACACTACCACTACACTAAATCTACACTACTAGCATGAAAATAAAGCTATCTAGACTAGGGGAGAGGCACAAACCATCAAGAATAGGCATAAACCATCAAATGAACCAAAATAGCATTCATTAAGCATATCATCTTGATAATCTCTAGATCTATAGCATCAATACACATAGACATGCATCAAAAACACTAAATCTAGGGATAAGCACATGAATATCCTACTCTAGCATACATAGACATATGGATAGAATAAAATAGTCAATTGGAAGCATTAAACCATACAAACCATGAAATAATCAAGATTTATATATACATGAATATCAAGATATATCATACAACACTAATCCCTCAATAATACACAAGATTAGAGTATAGAAAGCATGCTTGGGGCTAACTCTAGCCCCAAGAGGATGTCTAGCCACTCATGGTAGTGATGATCCAACCCTCAAGGGTTAACTCCATGGCTGCTCCTTGTTGGTGAAGATCTCCTCCAATGGTTGCTCTAGCTTCCTCCTTTCTTCCTCTCCAAGAATAGCCTCCAAGATGATTTTCAATGTGTGACAAGAGACTTTCTCAAAAAGTGTATCATATTCCTTATATAGGTAGGTCAAATACACCCCATGATGAGCTGTGGTCGTGCAAGGCATATTCTCCAATGATTGGATGAAGGACGGAATAAATGAGCCGGACTTTAACTTTTTCTCGCTGGAGGAAGTTCGATCGATCGAACCTTAACTTGGATCGATTGAAAATGGGTTCGATCGATCGAACTGCATCTTAGATCGATCGAAGTGGTTTGACTCCTCCGGATAATGACAAGGCTGGGATATTTTCAAGATATTTATGGGGAAAAAGACAAAAGTGGTTGGTAGGCGTACAGCTATGGATAAGATCAATCATTTGAATAGGACAAAACAGGGTTCGATCGATCGAAGGTGATGTTCGATCGATCGAACTTGGAATTTCAGCAAAGGCCAAGGTTGGATCTATCGAGAGGTACTGTGATCGATCATAGATTTTCGATCGATCGAACTCTAAGTTGGATCGATCGAACTTTTCAACTGCACAACTTGATTCCTTTTTGCTCCTTTCTTTCTCCAATTTGCTCCCTCCTTTGGTTTATCTCAGGATTGCTTCAATTAAGCTCTTATTTGGCTGAGTTAGCTCAATTTTGGGATTAGTGCCTGAAAATATAAATAACACGTAATAAGTCTAAAACGGCAAAGTAAGATAGATAAAGGTACTAGAATGCTTAAGCTTAACGGGTTTAAATGCGCACTTTTCAGTGCTCATCACACCCCCAAACTTAAATATTTCTAGTCCCTAGCAATGAACTAAGAAGTAAAGGAATGAAATAAACAACTATACAAGTATAAACTGGAAAGCAAGTAAAATAATAACACCATTTTCGTAGGGAACACGATTGCATTTAGCATATGCAACAAGCCTTTTAAACCCCTAGGTTACCCCTAGTGGACAAGTAAAGTCTCGTGAGGGTTTCCAGAAATGGTACCCACAAACATTAAACTCATTCTTTCAAAAGAGGCACCAATATTGCAAACAAGCATTGGGAGAAAACTACCTCAAGTATGCAATTTTTCAACCGTTTCTAAGCAATCTCCAAAAATTTCAATATCAAGCAAGCAAGTATGGTCCTCCACATATCAAGAAAATGATCATGAAAATCGAAACAAGTCTAGAATCCATGTGAGAGGTCCGGCATCAAGTGTGTTGCTATCTTAGCCAACTAGAGAAGTAATCACATCCTTACCCTCAAACTAGCACACAAATCTAGTACCGATCATCAAGATAAGAGAGTGAACATTTTATTAAAGCTTTATTGTTCTAGATGCGCTTATTCTTTTCACTCGTTTTCTTCTTCTTTTTTTTTTTTTTTTTTTTTTTTTTTTTCA